ACTAATTTTTTCAGAAATTAGTTACTTTTTTTTCGTTATTTACTAGTAGAAAATTTTATATATAAGCATGTAGTTTTTTTTGCTGTATTTTTCTTTGCGAAATAACTGACGAGCTTTATAATAAAGCGAAAATATACTATTAATAAACTTCGCTAAAAATAACCCTAAAATCTTTAATAAAAACTTATGTTCGTTTATAAATAAATGTCTAAAAAAATCTTTGATAATTACTTCGAAAATACCCTCATTAAACGGAGAAATTACAAACTTACAGGCTAAATTAATAAACGAATTTGATAAACTTAAAGATTTAGATTCTACTAGTCCTAAATACGAAGAACTTTGTCTAAATATTGAAACTGATAATATAATACTTGAGAGTCTGTTAAAAGAATATACCAATTTCATTAATATTGACACTATCGAAGGAGATAAATATATTGAAGAAAAGTTTAATCTCACATATAATATAACTAAATACCTTCTAGAAATAAAGAAAAGAAGACCTTCTGATACTCCATATAACCCTAACCCTAATAAAAAAGGAAATATGGCTTCTTCTTATAGTGATCAATATCTTCATGAAAAAATTGATTTTATTCAATTACTAACCGAAAACCAATATAATCAAAAAGAAGGAGACGAATACGGTATTCAAGAATCTTCTAATACTAACCCTACGACCAACCCTATATCAAATTCTCAACATATAGCTGAAAGTGATCCTGAACCAGAACTTTCTGATTAAGAAATAGATGAACCTGATGATATAACTTGGAGACATTCGAATTATAAGAACTATCTTACTTACGCTCTTCCTCTTCTACGTTTTTTTTGTCAAGAACCATTTATTTTTTTTTGGAATAACATTATTAAAATTGGGAGAGATAATTTAAAATTTAAACTTGATAAACTCAAATTCGACCTTGGCTATATTAAACCAAACTATCGTTGCAAATTTCCTTCTCTACAACTTCCCAACAATGAAAAAATTAATTATTCTGAAGAAGCAAAAGAAAAATCAAAAGAGATAAGTCAAAAATATTATGAACAATTAGAGTTATCTTTAGAAGAACGTACAAAATTACATAATAAAAAATTAGACAAATTTGTTAATAATATCAGCAGAAGTTATAAAAGTACGTTTGAGACTTTAAATCTTAAACATAATCCTTCTTTTCACTTTAAATCTGCTGAAACTAAATTTGTTGACTTATATATTGAGGGACTTGTCGTTCTAGATAATATACTTGAAAAAGAACTTAAAAAAGAAGAAGAAAAAATTAAAAAGCAACATGAACCAATTAGTAAAATTCTTAGTAATATTGTTAATGAAATAATAAGTGCTTCTATTACAGCACAACTTAAAAAACTAAATATTAACAATTACAAAGATTTAAATAAATTAGCTCCCAAATCAAAGTCTAGGTCACGATCTAGATCAAAATCTAAACCAAATAATAATAATAATAATAATAATAATAATAATAATAATAAAAACAAGAAAAAGGATTTTCAAAAAGCCGTGCCCTCACACGGCCAAACAATCAAAAGAAGAAAAAGACTCCCTCCAATTCAAAGTCGACCTCATGCTCCAGGTTGAAAATATCCAAGACATCTTCAAAAGGCCAATCAAGATTGTAAAACAATATATCTCACCAAGATTCCACAACTCGTAGAAGATCACGATCATGACAATACAATGTCATATCTTAAACTATAGATATAAGTTCATACCAACCCCAACCCCAACCCAACGTAAAGGCCTAATGGACACGGACCAACCCTACCTAACCGAATCATTAATCTATTTAGAAAGACACCTTAACTTATTCTTTGAGTTTGGAGAAGGCGGCTCTAAAAAATCGGTTAGAATACCCAATCCGGATTATATACCGAAACCCTATCCATCCACTTCAGTATTCATTAATAAATTAAAGGAAAAACTTTGCTGTCCATTAATTCCAACCTGTCAATATAACTTGACGCTAAGAGAGAAAAAGCCTTAATAAATCTAGCAAATAACCCTAATATCGTTATTTCTCAAACAGATAAAAATCTTGGGCTGGCTATTATCCCGTATAACGAATATATAATGGCTCTAAAAAAACTTCTTTCTATAGAAGACTACGAAGAAATAAATTTAACTGAAAAAGCATGTATCTTGCTAATTCAACGAAAAATATTTGACTTGCCCATGTCAAATAAACATCAAAATTACTTTATTCCTTCGGAGAATAATCTACAACTCCCTTTCTTCTATATCTTACCTAAGGTACATAAAGCACCTTTAAAATAGAGACCTATTGTAGGCATGCATTTCGCACCTATAAAAAGATTATCAGTTTTTCTCTCGGATATTTTAAAAGACTGGATGACTTTCCTCGAACAACATTTTAATATAAATTGGATCCCTCTTCGAGATAATTTTTAACTTATTTACCAAGTTGAAAAAATTAAAAACTAATTTAATTATGTTGTTACAGGTGACTTTGAATCTCTTTATACAAAATTCACTCACCTGGAAATCTTGTCTGCTTTTGATTATTTAAATAATCATGCTGTTCCAATAAAAAGTTATTTTGGTTTTAATAAACCAAAAATTATATTTATTCTTGCTCTAGTAATAGATAATAGTTATTTTAAAGCTTTAAGAAAAATCTATAAACAAAAAAGAGGAATAGCCATGGGGACTAATACTGCAGTTCATATAGCACAACTTACATGTTTCGCTCATAAACTTGTAGCCATAAATAATGGACTTTTTTTATTGTAGATATATAGATTATATTATTATTTTTAGCAATAGTTTTGTGAAAGAAATTTTTACTAACATTTATTCTAAACATCATAAAATTTCTTGGCAAAAAATCAATAATGGAAAAACAGCAAACTTTTTAGATCTAACTTTCAATATAACTAATGAAATTAGCTATAAAAGATTTTCTAAATTTCCTAGATCTGCTGCCTTCGTCCACTATAAATTCAACCATCGACTATTAATGAAAAAACAAGTCATTATTAACAAAGTTTCTTGTTTCTCATTAATCTGTGCAAAAAAAGAAGACTTTTTATTAGAAAAAGAAAAACTTCTCAACTTTCTTAATACAACCAAAGGATATTCTCTATATATCCTTAAAGAACTAAATTATCCTTCCTGGGAAAATCGCCTTGCCATTTTAAACAAAATTAATGAAGAGAAAAAGGATAAACCTCTACCACCTATTATCCTTAAAATACCTTTTGATAATGCTTTATTTAAAAGAAAAAATTACTCCTCTATTTTAAATGAAGCCTTTGAAAGCTCTATGAATAAAGAAACTACCCAACAGCCACTTCTATGTATAACAAATCAACCATCTCTGGTCAGAATCCTTGCCCAGTCTTCGACCGGGCACCTAACCCTAACCTAACCTTATATAGAAATGACCAAATTAAACCTAATCCTGGCCGATCTCGGCTGTAAATCTCGGCTGCAAATCTTGGCTGCAAATCTCAATTTGAGATGCTACAAAGAGCAATTTCGCCTGGTCAGGTAATAAAAATAATTTATATATTTAATGTTATTTTTAAATAATTATTAAATATAATTATTGTAGTTATTTGGAATAACAATTGGTGTCTTGGAAGTGGTGTTATTGAATATATATTTTAAATTTTTAAGGTAAATAATATTATAGACTAATTATTAAAACACTGCTATTAATAGTTACATAAATTATTATATGTTTATTTATTTAAAATCAGAGTTAATTTTTTTTAGCTTTTAATAAAATTCACTACATGTGTTAAATATTATAGTTGTTATATTTTAAAAGTAGCTAAGTAGCACTTTAAAAACTATCTAACTCTAATTCTTGTAATTTTTAAAAAAAAACTCTAAACTTTACTATCAAAATTTTATAAATAATAAAAAAATAAAACATATTCATTGTAAATACTGCAAGTGCACTTAATACTTGACATATATTCGAATTACAAAAGTTTACATATAAACTAATTTATATAGCCATTTTGAATCAAAAACTTATACATATATATATATATAATAATTTTTTAACCAGATAAATGGTTTTCTTTGATTAACAAAGATATTTCATTGTTTTGATATATATAACTATTGCAGCTTTTCAGAATGACCTAAACTTTCCAAATTTATAGGAATACTCGAACTCTATGAAAATAAAGCTTATTCACATTCTATAGAAACTTCCTTTGTTTTTTCTAATATAAATTCCTATTATATAAAATAACATTTGTACATATTACTTTACATACAGTATCTAGAGATATCCAATTAATAAAAGTTTTAGATATTTTAATACAGTTTTTAAAAATAATAAATCTTTAAAAATAGATACAGACTTGTGATATAGTCTAGTATATTAAAGTTTGACTTTACAATATAGTGAAAATTACAATGAGTGTATATTTGCGGTTTATATTAAATATTTTTATATAAAATAGTAACTAATTTATTCTTTGTCAAAAGGATTTTGATTAAGAGATTTCAAAGTAGAAATAGAGAATAATGTTGAAAATTTTTTTTTTACTAGTAAAAATATTAGTAAAATTAGGTTCATAGAAATGTAATAGGCACCAATAGACATCTCTATTGCTGCCAAATTTTGGCAGTGATAGGAATTCTATTGATGCCTATTGCATCTCTATTGAACTTAATTTTACTTGTTATAGAAATGTGATATTGCTTAAACTAATTAGTTTATGCTTTGGAACTTACTTGAATATATATTGTTCTGAAATATAATTAATTTTGAATCCAGACCAAAATATTATTACGTCATATATAAAATTGGTCTGGGTTCAAAAATAATTACTCATATAAATTGAATTTTAAACACCATCGCTATTTTAAACTGGTTATTCACATGACTATTGATTATACTTGCTTGAGCATGTTAGTTAAAATTCGTTATTTATAAGAATACAGAAAAATATATACATAAATACATATTTTGTATATTTGTATAATACATATATTGATCTATTTATTTATTAACCTCTATAAAATCAATAATAAACAAAGCTTACACAAATGTTTTCTTCAAATAGACGATTATATATTTGGTTAATTATTCATTTTTTGCTTTTGAGAACATCTGTTTACTAGGCACACTTGTAATTAGAATTGTAAATTTACAAGAATTTTTAATTTTTTAATGTAAGATAAGTTATAAATATGTAACTTACATGTAAATATATGAGTTACTATTAATTAATATAAATAGATTAATCACTATTAGTTTATAATAATATATTTAGATATTTTCACTTCTCATTTTTGCTAATACCACTTCAGATATCTAAAAGTGCTCTGGAAGAGGTATTTTTATTAAGTAAACCTTTCTTTGATCTTAATAAAAGTTGTTTATCAGGCCTTTCTGATTCTAATAGTAGTAAATTTATTAATGTCAAATTAGTAGTTCCTAAGATATATGTATCTGAAGTTGGTTAACTTTCATTTACTTTAAAAAAAATACTATTAGTTCGATTTTAATAATTTTACTACTATTAGGTTTTCTTAATAACAATACCTTTTCCGAAGCACTTTTTTAAATTTTGTAGAGGTGGAATTAGCAACTCTTTATATTTAAATATATATATATAATTGGTTTATTTAATATATTAATAGGTATCCATTTGGCAATTATACTAAATTTAATATACACAAAAAAATTAATTTTGAATTAATTATTTGATCAAATTTAATCAAATTTTGCCAAATTATATTTGAATATTAGAACTATCTTTTTGTACAATTTCAGTGATATTTATTAATAAAAATTTTGTATAGCTTACTTTTAAACTTACTGTATTGTTCTAAAATTTTGCTGTACTAAATTTAATACAGTATTAAAAAAATCATAATATACAAAACTTATAATAAAATTAAAAAAAAATTTTTATATTGTTTTGGATCCAATCTTGATTTTGGTCTGATTAAAAAAAATAAATAACAATTTTTTTAGATAGC